ATGAATGTAGTACAAGGTACAAGAAATTACTGGGATGCCCCTGATTAGTGATGGGACATCCAGATGACTTAAATCATTAAACAGGATTAGGCCCATTAACACAGGCCCAGTTATAAGATAAGTTAAACATAAGAATGGGCTAATAAGAACTCTTATCAGCCGAACATCACTCTAACATTCTAACACTTTCTGTTGGTATTTAAAATGCATGAAGGAATATGTGGGATATTGGAAAAGTTAATGAGAGATTTCTTATGGGAACCAGGAGAGGAGAAAAAGGATCATAGAGTCAGGTGGGATATAGTTACCAAAACCAAAAGTTATGGTGGTTTTGCTTTAGGTAACTTGCAAAAAAAGAATGAAGCTCTATTGGGGAAATGGCTTTGGAGATTGACATTGGAGAGGGACAAATTATGGGCTCAAGTTGTCTTAAGTATTCATGGGCAAGAGGCGGACAGCTGGGACTCGAAAGTTTCAGCTAGGGCTACGAGAGCTTCTCCTTGGAAATCCATCCATGCCATACTTCCTTCTTTCCTTCCCCTAATCAGGTATGATCTGTGCTCTGGTAACCTCATGAAATTTTGGGATCATGTTTGGGTGGGAAGCACCCCATTGAAAGAGCTTTTCCCTTCATTGTATTTTTTATCACAATTTAAAAATGAGCCAGTTTCCACTTTTTTTACCACGTCTAATTCAACTATTGACTGGAATTTGGGTTTTAGAGGGCCCTTAGAGACTCTGAACTGAACCTCATTTCTGACCTGCTAAAAATCCTAGATGATGTGGTGATTGACCCCCTTAGGAGGGATAGTAGGATTTAGGTCCCTTCTCCTTCAGGTGTTTTCTCATGTTCTTCTTTCTTCAAAGAACTGGCTCATTCCCCACCTGTTTTTGGACTCCCTTTTCTAATTTTGGAAGTCTGGGGTAGCCCAATTCCTCCCAGAATTAATGCCTTTTGTTGGGAAGCTTTCCTTGAAAAGTGTGACACTTGCGACCTACTCCAAAGAAAAAGCCTAATTGGTGTTTATCCCCACACTGGCGCATCCTTTGTAAGAAGAATGGAGAGACTTGTTATCACTTAGTGGTTTCTTGCCCATTTGTTTCAGAGATCAAGTGTTGGTTTTTCTATCTTTTTGGTTGCAGGTGGACCCCCCCCCCTCAAATGTACAAAGCCTATTCCATTCTACTACTGTTAGGGGAATGAAGAAGAAAGGGAAAATTCTGTGGAGGTGTGTAAGAGCAGTTGTATGTTGGACAGTTTGAGAGGAAAGGAACCAACAGACCTTTCATGGGAAAGAAAGAAATAAGGGTGTAATCATTGAACTAATTTCTATAAGGGTTGGTTCATTGGGTTAAGACTTTGCAAATTTTTGAAATTTATTCAAAAGGAGATATCATCAGGAAGTGGAGAGAAGTAGCTTGGTCAGCTCCAAGGAAGAATTCATCTAACCCAATTTGGTCCCCTCCAACTTCAGGATTCACTAAACTAAACTTTGATGGTAGTAGTGGAGGAAATCCAGGCCTGACAGGTATAGGGGGAGCTTTCAAAGATGATGAAGGTCGGATTATTGCTCTGTACTCTGGTTCTATTGGATGGGGGGACTCTCTTAGAGCTGAAACATTGGCTGTTTTGGAAGGGTTAAAAAGAGCTCAAGAATTAAATATCAGAAAATTGATAGTGGAAGGTGATTCTAAGTTGGCTATAAACTGGCAAATGAAGGATGATTCTAGTTTGTGGAAGTTTCTAAATGAGAAGAAGAAAGTTAGACATCTCACACAAAAATATGGAAGTCAAGTTTCAATGGACTAAGAGGTTCGCCAATTCCTTGGCAGATTCATTGGCCAAACAAGGGGTGGGAAGAGTTAATTTTTTCTGGGCAATATTGTAATCTGAACTGTATTCTTGGGAGGGTTATGAGTTTTTACCCCTCCTTTTGTATCTTTTTTTATTAATATCTATTAAAAAAAGTCTTTGTTATCTAAAAAAGAAAAATCTATTACAAGTTGAAGGGGCTAAAAGAGTTAGGGGCAGGACAATAAGGAAATTGGCGGAAGTAGTGAGAAATCAATTAAAGGCCCAAAATTTAACAATGGATATGGTATTGAACAGGATGGAATGGTGGAATAGCATTCATGAAGCCAACCCATATAGTTGGGACAAAGCTTAGATGATGATGATGATAACTTGTGGGCAGCATTGGAGGGTGGGGGCAGTTTAAGCTGGTTCTGAATGTCATTTGGCGAAAGACATGCATATGTGTTTGTACATCAGTAACACATTCCTAGAATGCTCTCTCCACAATTATTACAATGAACTGCATTTTTTCTGACCAACTACATATTGATATGTCTACTTTTTTTTTTCAATTTCTATGGTGCATTAATGAATGACCGGCTCTAAGAGAAAGAGCGAGGGGGGCAGAAGGAACAGATTTTATCTCACAAGCATTGTATGAGTCTTGCCACTGCTAGTCACACCATAAGCAAAAATTGTGCCTGTTATATAGAAAACATTACCAAGTATATATTAGGAAAGCATTAATAAAGTCTGTACAAAATTGAAAATAAAGAGCATATCAACATGGTGCAAGAAAATGGTTTTAACAAATAAATGGTAGAAAATCCCATCTATTGACTTTTGAGACAAAACTATGACCAAATTCATGAAAAGTTGAAAAAAAAAGGTCAACATTTAGGAGATCAGCATATTTACCATTGATGCCCTCCATAGCACCATTAACAACATGTTGTGCAGCTACATCATAAACATGCCTACTTGTTGTTGTAGGGCCAAATACTCGATCTAGATGCATGAAGGAAAATAAACAATTTAGTTACCAAGTATAAATATTAATAATTAGATTTAGAAAAATTGAACTTAAGTATGACAGAATATTAGCTCATTTACTAAAAATGGCATCGTTACTGTTAAATCATTTTATAATGCTCTTACAAGAAATCAAGTGGAGAAATCGGAGATTAAAGGAGTGTGGTGAAACCCTATTCCACCTAGGGGTAGAGTTTTTACATGGCTCATGATGGCTTTGGACAGCATTCTAACTATGGATCATATTCTAACTAGGGAAGTGCAATTGTCAGGGAGGTGTTACTTATGCAAAGTGGCTGAAGAGAATGTCTTCCACTTATGTTTTAGGTGTTGCATTTTGACATACATTTAGGGATACTTCTTTGGTCTTTTCATATCTGACTTCATGGACCCTAGAAGTCTAGGAGATATTTTTGCCCGATGGCCAACAATGTGAGAAAATCTCAAGGCAGAAATTGCGTGGAGCTATGTTCCTTTTGTCATTTTCTGGGAGGTTTGGAAAGAAAGGAACGAAAGAATTTTTGAAGGAAAAGAGAAAAGAAGAGATCAATTAGTTCTGTTTTGTAGTAAGAGAAGCATGGAGTGGATTTCTATCTTGCCAGAATTCGAAGGAGTTTCCAAAGATCTTAGGAATGGCTTTTGGTCTCTATTGGAGTTAGAGTCAAGAAATTAAGTTTTATTTTTGCCCTGTTACTTTATTGAAATGTATTGTTGTTTTCTATGTTTCTAGATCTCACGTATTAAGGTTCGTGCTTTCCTTTTTGTTCTTCTAATGATATCTCATCACTGCTTTGGATGAATCCCTCTTCTTGTTTAATAAAATTTTCTTTTTATTTACTAAAAAAAAGGAGGAGATATCAAAGAACACATTAGAAACGACACAAACTTGAAAAAAATATGTCCATAATTATTTGTATAGATATAAAGTATAAAAGGAAAAATAGTAACTACAGCATTAGTAACAAAGCCTACAAAGGAAATTGGAAAAACAAAAGATGATCCATTAGGATAGCACAATACATCAATTTGGCATAAGTTTCTATCTTCATTTAAGGTTGATGATGATTTGACAATAATACTGCTAACTCACATACATGCAAACACACATGTTGGGTATCCCCTCCTCAAATGGGTGGGGCCCACTATAGTTAGTTGGACAAAAAAATTAACAACAACAATAATAAGAGAAAAGGGAAGTCCAACAATCTTATTGATTTCCCAGTCATTTCATGCCTTAGTGGATAGTAAGGCCAATCTCCACTTTCACTTGTCTTACACTAGATGCCTTTTTACATATTGGAGAAAGGGGGGATGTAGGATGAAAAGGAGAAGTCCTAGGATTAATGTGATTGGTAGAGAAGGGGAAAAACAAATTTAGATCTGAATAGAGAAGAAATATTGCACCTTTAAAAGCGAAAAAAAAAATAGAGGAGAGAAAAAGAAGATTGCATTCTTACAATCTTACCCATAGGCAAATGAACTTTCTTCAACCACTATTTATCAAAAAAAAAAAAAAATCTTCAACCATAAAATTCTGATTACAATGGTTCTGTTTATAGGCCAAAGATAATGCTTGAATATTCCTCTACAGATTCTAATTTAGACTCAAAAACTGATCGAAAATAAATTCTAATCACTTCAAACTAAGTCAAACCTTAGCTAACCCATGAGAACACTCAAATAAAGGTTAACTACTAAAATCACTCTAATAACAGTACAACATTTTATTAACCCCATTACAACTAAGCAAATCTAGAACAACTTCAAGACAGATCAGAAGAAATAGAAAAACCCAAATTCCATTACAGACTAATAACTTATCATTAAATGGCCATGACTTCCTTAAAACACATCAATTTAAAATAACTGGGTCTTGTTAGACAGATAACTCAGTTACCTATCTAATGGCATCAAAATCATGTAAAAGGAGCAACTATTGACTTCTAGAAAATAGTCTAGAAAAAGAGGCTGAAAGAAAAATGACGTTATTCCATCTTCAACTTTTCAAAATTCTACTCTCTAATAAGACTCTATAAACAAATTTGATCATTTAAAATAACTAGCCTTGACCCTACGACACCTAAAACTAAAAGGCAACTTATCAAAAGACTCAAATTGATTAAAATTAGAAACATTAAAATATTCACAAATTTGCAACTGGATGAGGACTGAGGAGAATACTGGTTTTTTTATCATTGGATTCTTTCCCTACTTCCATGCCTGCTTAAATGGTTTTTTTATCATTGGATTCTTTCCCTACTTCCATGCCTGCTTAAATGGGTCTCTTGAGATCCTATTCACTTCTAGGTTTTTCCTCTTTTGGCTGGAGAAGAAAGTGGTAAGAATTTTTCCTCTTAGGTGAAAATGAGATTAATGGATTTTTCATTAAAGAACATTACTCCAGTCCTTTGGAAGCTTTTTCTACCTATTTCTTGGATACATGTTCAGGCTCTTCTACATCAAGGGTTTCTGCCTTTCTGGTGGTAGATTTGGCTCTTTATCACAGTTTGAACTTTGAGGGGGATTGTGGCCATGATGGCAAACCTTTCCTCTATTTGTTGATTGGAATATACCTTGTTTGGTGGTTATCTTGTGCATCCAAGAAAGTCAATTTTTTTGGGGTGTTGAAATCCTCTAATTCTAACTAGAGAGTTACAACTCTGGAATTCCTCCACACTGGAATTTTTCCACACACACATAAACAGCGTTTTGTCTCTTAAATTTTCTTGTTTTTAATCACAAGGAGAGAGAGAGAGAGAGAAAGAGAGAGAGAGAGAATTCTGTACATTACAAATGGGCTTAGATGTTCCATCAAGATGTATCAGAATTTCGCTACCATCTGACATTCAGAAATTCAATTTTTAATTTTATTGCCACCACTTCCTTTCTTCTTTTTCCTGCTTCTACTTTTTATATTTTGTTTGTATCTCAACTCCGAAAAGGTATTGTTGACTACTGAAGCTTTCATTTTCAGTAGGGAAACAAAATTAAAGCGTAAAAAAGTTCATAGTCTGTATCACCCTCTGTTCAAAATTACCAATTAACGCCAATGGATTAAAACATTTAGTTTCGGGTACAACGTACCATACGCATACGCTATCGAAGGATTGTGTTCATTCCGCACGATAGTTTCTCCATCAGCATACCATGCAACCTCCTCTCCTTGCCGAATTTCCTTCGGACTGCACCAACCATAAAGCAGAACGGAATTCAACCACAACCAGTCACATTTTTTATTGAAAAAATGGGATGCATGAGCGCAAAATTGAAAATAACCTGAGAGGACGAAACCGGACTGTAACCGTGACATTCTCTTTGGGTCTCTCGACCTCAAGAGGTACACTATCCGAATAGAAATATTGTTGTTTACTTCGAGCCGATGAAGAAGCAGGAGAACTCTGACCTTCCAGCGAGGTGTCTAGAAACTGTTTCGAAGAGGAAGTAGTCGAGGATGAAGGAGAATTAAGAAATTTGTTAACACTCGAGATTGATTTCTTCGACTTAGAGCCTTGTTTTGATGCCATTACAGATTCAACTCAGTTTTTTCAGTCAAAAATAATGGACACAAACTCTGTTCCACCTAATCAGAGTAGAATCATATCAGTAACCGACCTTCAGAGAAAAAAAAAAGAAAATCAAAACATTGTCAGAACAATTTACAGGTCCAGACGCCATTAAAGTTCAAACCAAGCAGAAACGAGAAGAAAGATAATCAATCAAAAAACGACGTCCGCCGATTACCTGAAATGAGCAGATGAAGCTATCGAAGAAACCGACATTTTTACAGAAAATCAATCATTATAAAGGGATCCCTCTTCGTTCTCAGAGATCTAAACTAAGGATAGCGAAGAACATCATAAGTCGGTCAGAAACCGCAAGCTTTTTTGGCTTGCTTTGGAAGCAATGGCCCTTCGTGAAAAGCAAACCGCATTTTCAATCCACTTGAGAGTTGAGTCTTGAGAGAGAGAGAGAGAGAGAGAGAGATTAAAAAGGTCTCAACTAAACTCAACAGCCCAGCAGTCTGAGAAGTCTGAGACGCTCGTTCTCGTTAGTTGGTTTCTTTTTTCTTTTCCTAATTCTTTTTTGTGAGCGGGCGTAACAGTAGCAGTAGACTAGTAGTACCAGACACGGTCACATGAGTCGCGTGCAGCTAAGCCAGCCGAAGAGGAAGACTGGTTCGGTCTTTAGGCGGACCAATGAGAGAACGACATGTGGCGCACAAAACGAATCATGATTCGCTTCGTTTTCTGAGGGCTGTTGTCTGTCTTCTTCCTGCTGCGGAAGCCGTCGTACTGCCCTATGAGAAATAATTCCTTTTATAAGCGGGTTCGCCGCTAGTATCCTTAGATCCTATCCTCTTTGGGCATGAAAGTGGATCCAAACCCAATCCGCATCTACCGCACGTGATACGGACGCCGGATCGGATCCCGTCCAGATTACGTTGTGGACCCATACCTAGTTTGTATATGCATTTATATCGCTGGCGCTGGATCAAGAAAATTCATGGTTTATAACTTGTTTGAAACTTTAAACCCTATGACTAATGAAAACAACATTCAAATTAACCTTTATTAATTTAAACAATATAGATCATACGTATGAATTGAATCGAATTATATCTGACCCGATAAGATGAATCCAAATCCATATTTGACCCAATTGAGACAAACAAGTATCATTTGTATGAATTAATGCATATTTGTATTTGTACTTTTTCCAAATAGAACTTTATTTTCTAAGAGCGTTTATATTATCAGGACCATCGCATTTGTCATTCCTTATTTTAAGGATTTATCTCTGTTTTATTTTTTTTTAGCATTTTAACCGCAAAAAGGAGATAAAAGTGGAGTGGATGTTTTAAGTCTCAACATTTGTGCTTTTACTTAGCATCGAAAAGCGAAAACATAGAAGTGTTTTGGCACATATGACAATGCATAATTGTTTATTGTGATTTGTGACTATAAATATATATAGGGAAAAGAACGAACAAGCCCATTACAGAAATGTCAAATATCCCCACTCTATACATTAATGCTTGCCCCTGAATTAATATCAATTCTAAGTTGACACTTACCCCAAATGTACTTTAGGCCTAAAAGCTCTGAACCTGGGCTGAACCGTTATTATCTCAATATATAAACACAATTTTAATATTTCCTTTTACACCCCGTGCACACATCCCAATGTAAAGGGGGGGGATATAAATTAACAACATTTATTCTTGAATATACCCAACCAAATAAGAATTTGGTATGATAAAGTCAAAAGGCCTCACTAATGCCTGCTTAGTGGAGGTTAAACAAAAACACCATGGTTCTAGGTTCTTCATACACTGTCTAGGTTGGTCATCACTTGAAACATTGGATTGGATCATCTTTTCATAAATGTCAATACCAACATGTTGATGGATCAGTGATCACACTCTGTATACAATTTCATATGGCATTCAACCACACATTGGGAATATTATATATATGTTAGAAGTTCCAAATGTATAAACTGAATGTCTGTACTTGCAAAGTGTATGCATAGTATTTGCTTCAGGAAACATGCCCAACCATCTTATGGACATTTTCACGAGTGTTGCCGATGCCTCATTTTCCTTTGTTTTTATTTATTTATTTGAGGGGGCGGGCCGGGTTTGCTGGCTTTTATATGTATATAAGGTTAGGTCTTAATCATTGCAATTAATGATCAATGGTTGGTATGACTTTGCTATGCGTTTAATATAAACAATTAAATAAAGTAAACAAATGATTCATGGATTAGGAACGAGTTTGACCAATGAAATGGATAGCATCCACAGGTGGATATAATTGGGGTTTTGTTCAAGCAACTCCCACTCATCCATTGTTACTTTCTTTTGTTTCTTTCCTAATCTCCATTCTGATATAGATTTTTCTGATGTAAATCACCTAATCTCAGCATTTGTATTATAATATTCTTCCTCTTATAAAGCACACCAATTTTACTAGCTTTATCAATCACCTGATTATTTTTAACAACTTTAGAGTCGGTTGATTCAGTTTTTTGCCCATGTCTAACGTTAGAAAACCTCACTTAGAGCCTGTTTGTCATGGTTTCTGCATTAAAGGTGAGCTGCGATGAATGATAGAGCCATGGTGATTGTGCATCTGTGTTCCAGAGAAGCTATTTAGCTTCGTAGTGCAGTTGTGCGTTTCTCATGTTCAGAATTTTCACCAAATATAGTTGCTACTGCTCTTCTGTGGGGCCCAGCTCGGAATGCCAGAAGCCGTGTCCCAAACTTTCACACAGTGGCTTCTAACTTTGCATGGTAGATCCCACACATAAAGCCGAGAACAAACTATGTTTGGTGAAAAACCCTAAAAACTCAAACACATTTTCATTCAGCTAAGAAATTGGCTTTCTCATTAATCGAGTTTTTGTATTTTATTTTATTTTTTTTCAAAGTGGCTCAATGGAAGCAGTTCATTCAAAGCTGAAGCCTTCGCAAACAGGCCCTTATATAATTATATTCTCACCAGACTAGATTCTGATTATATTCGGGTGCAAATTTGATCCGATCCGTTTGCAACCTTAACCGGGCGTTCAAATCAGCTCATTATTCCTTTTCTAATGGCAGATCAATTAATAATGGGCCAAACATACCCCGAGAGAGTGAAGGGATGCCATTTCAGTAACATGCATGAATGAATATAAACAAACAAATTTCTCAAAACCCAACGAATATTTTTAAAACCCCAAGAAAAGATTCCTCTTTCAACGACTATATCTTGCAGTATAATTTAGCTTTTGTTGCTTCGTTTTTTGCATGGGCCACATAGTTCGATACATACAGAAAACAAAGGGTGCAGATAAAACTAACCGAAAAAGAAGAAGGAGAAAAATAAGTATAGTCCAGTCCCACCATGAAAAGCTTCATTTCCAACCACTCGTGGCAATGAGAGGATTCCTTTTGTCTAGACGACAGCTTACCATTTTGTTTCTTTTTTGCTTCGGTTGGATTTGGATTCCCAAAAGGTGAAACTAACCAAAACGCATTTCCACTATAAGTGCCTTTAGTTTCGTTACATGGGGCCCATAAAAAACGTGGGCCCTTTTAAGACTCCAAAACAATACTGACCATCCGATCAGCTTCTACGTTTTGACCCCCTTTTGGGGTATGGCCAATGCCATTTTGATGCTTGAAACTGTGCTTTGGTCAATGCCTATTCTAATACAAAATTTACTTTACAAAAGACATTCTACCAAAGAAGGAGCAAAAGAAGTCAAATATATAAGGTTTTATAATTGAGTGGATTGTATGGAATCATAATGAAAACCAGATTTTTTTTTTTTTTGGTGATATATTGGGATTTCTTTACCAAGCTTAATCATGTCATGGGCCCTGAGTCATCATAGAGGTCATTGGGGGGATAACTTACCTTCATTGTATTACAATTGGTTACTGGGGATAATCATTAGACCGTGGCCCATTGAATTCATTACTCATCCTTCTTGGCTTAACATGAACCTTGAAAGTACATATAGTGTTATGTTTTGCCATAAACCATAACCTATAAATCAATATCAATTTTATTGTACTTAGGCCCAGGCCTGGGCCTGGTTAATTGTACTTCATTTTAGGCCGAGCCTAAGGGTGTAATATCAAATCTAGCTTTAATTTAATTGTTCAAATTCAAATTTGATTAGTCTTAATTTGAATTTGATGTTAATCAAGCTTGAATATCAGAGTAAAATTGAATTTTCAAACTCAAATTCAAGCAATAAAGTAAAACATTTTGTTTGTTGAACTTTCGAGCTGAACTTGAATTTGGATATAGGAGTATTTTAGTCTTATCAAGCCAAGACATGTTGAAGTTTGGCTTGGTTCAGTTTCATTAGACTCTTAATCAAACCATTAATACATAAGCAGAGAGAGAGAGAGAGAGAGGCCCTGATGGGTTGGATTAAGTTAATTATAACTCTGCTTTTGGGAAATTTTTTAGTCGAAGTTGATGAGGAAATCATATTAGAGATATCATTTCCCGTGTATAAGAAGATTTTGCATGGAAATAATGAGTCTAGATCCTCTAGACCATTGATTGGGGAGGATAACTACTCTCATCCTCTCGTGTAAAAAGGACCAATATTAAAAAGGGGTGACAACATGGTACAGAGTTGCTCGATTAATGAAAGAGAACTGTAGAGTGGGTCCAAAAGAGAAGAGGGAAGAAAGATAAATAGTAAAGTTTGTTAAAGATCAAATGGCACTAGCTTGAGCAAATGTTTTGCAAAAGTTCTCAAAGCATTATTCAATTGTCATCCACGCACCGAAAGAAAAAGAAACAACTAGATGACCCTCAGAAAGGAACCCTAGGTTGTATATTATGAGATTACTGGTGCTATTATGTCTCAAGTAAGAAACAACTTTGCACAGGTTGGGAATGTTACACAGCTGGCAACCTTGGTGGCAAATACAAAAGTGTTAGTGTGTTACTGTGTTTCTGCCACATTACTCTATCTGCTCCTCAAGTAGAATTAGGAATGTCAATGGGTCGAATTAACTGCTCCTCAAGTAGAACTAGGAATGTCATTGGGTCGAGTTAAGTGATAAATTCCCACTGACCCGACCCTATGAGATTAGGGTTAAGAAAATCCCGAACCATTGCCATTGCTGCTGCATTGAAATACATGTAAATATAGGCTTGATTGAGTATAGGTGTACTACATATGGCATAGATTGCGTTGTGTTTGATATTCTATCTTCATTTAATGAGGCTGGATTGGATTCAACTTGAGTCAAACCTATGCCAAACCCGCCCCGTTGGGATCCCTATGGTACAGCCCTCCAACTCTGCCAAAAAAAAGTCCTTTTCAAGGGAATTTCCAAGATGATAGTTCATGGTTGTCGTAAGTGATTCTGATACACGTTTTGACTTACATGGCAACGTGACATTTTGAATGTTTATAGGTCTGCAATGAAATTCAGAAATCTACATTAGGCCTATCTGTACTTTTCCGTAAGACGAGTGCTTGTCTCGTCAGGGATTGGACTGAACGAAAGAAAAAATCATACATAATGGGGCTGAGCAACCAATCACAGAGACCAAAGACAATCATACACATAAGGTGTAGAGTTCAGATCTACTCCTCATACCAACCTCAAATTGCGTTTCAGTTGTACATCAAGAACATCTCTCATACTTTGTGTTGTTATTGATGGAGAGATCTTCCTAATACATGGTGGGATGGGGCTGTGAGGTCGGTGTAAGGTGTATTCTGTGAGGAGCAAATCCCAATTCTAAGGTATGGATTCCACATAGACCTCATGTATACGGAATACCAGCATATTCACTCATGATTGGTTGCCCAAGTAGCATGAATGATTTTGCCAATAGCCAATCCAGACTCACCGCATCAGCTTCACCTTGTTTGGCATTTTTCAACTCACTTTCCCCGTGGGAAGAGTAAACCCCTTTGTCACAGGCTCACAGGAAGCATTTTTCAACTCCATTTTGTTTTCTGGAACTTTGTAAATGTTGCCATGGTCGACCTCCACTCTGGAAATCATATATCAGGGAGGGCACAAGGGCATAAGCATATTTTACCTTGGGGGCCCTTAGATTACAACTGAAATAGGTAAACTGAATGAATTATTACTGTCTTTTGGTGAATAAATTATTAGGGAGGTTGTAAGATCTTTAGGGTCCGTTTGGTTCACAGTTGGAATCAGAATCGGAATCGGAACCGGGGTGGTCAATTCCCATAGTCTGTTTGGTTCAGATATGAATAAAAATGAGAATTAGAATCAGCAAGAATGAGATTTCATTCCCAAGGGAGGGGCAGGGAATGGCCATTCCCTCAAATGGGAGAATGCCATTCCAAAAGGAATGGGATTGAAATTCCAATTCCATCCAACCAAACAGTTATAATCAAAATAGCCCATTTCGGTTTCGATTCTGGACCCCTGTTCCTGTGAACCAAACGGGGCCTTGATGGATAAAGCTGAAATTGGGTTGATTATTATGTCCCCCTGAATACTTTAAAGGCAACAAGTCATTCAGTCCATTTTCGAACGGTAACTCTGAAAGCCATAACTAAACCGTGTGTCTATGTTTGGATAGAAAGTAGGAGAGTAAACTCGATCTTTTTTTTTTTTTTGATAAAAAAAAAGTCGATTAGGGCCACTTCTGTTGGATTCCACTTCTCACAATTCACAACCCACCCGCAAAAACAATTTCTTCCCGTCATACATATTAGCCAAAATAATGCATCAAGGACCCTTGATAAGACGGTCACTAATTCACACTACCATGTATTTCCATGGAGTGGGAGCGGTCCTCTAGGGACCGAGAGTTTGGGTTGTTAAGTCCGCATCTCCAGCCAACAAAAATCCCTCCTAACACATTCCAACAAGATTCTTGTTGGCAGGAGATCCCAACTCCAGCACATCATGTGTGGGGTCCATCACAAGGCTGGGAACAAATCATGTTGAAAGGGAATTTCATTGGCAGGAGATCCCAACTGTGGGTTAGTTAGAATTTGTTAAATTTCCAATGGGCCCAAACCCTAACCCAAGCCTTTTTTTTCCTCCCAACCAAAACCAGATTAATGCCTAATCTTCCAAACTCGTTATTTGATAAGCAAAAAGAATTTGCATAACCGATGAAGACCAATCAAATAGCACACAAGCACTTACAAAGCTTCAACATCAAAAATCAACTATAAACCTTGCAAAGGTGGACATGGACGCACCAGGAGGGAGGGAGAGAGAGATTAAAATGTAAGCCTCCCTCTGCCCCAAATTATTTCAAAATTACAACACAATCATGCAGCCTAAAATGCTCAATGTCAACAATAACAAAATTCAACATCTGGTAGTTTCGCACTGCAAACTACAACGTAAGTTGTAACTGAGGTGTCAAAGCGTAAGTTTTGCACCATGTCATGTTTTATATATTCATATTCGCTTCTGAATTTTGGGTTAACAGTTCAATGGTTGACTACAGTCCATTAGAGACCAATGATGTGCACCCCGATACACCATTATGCTGCATGTATTAGTCAAACATCACATTTCGCACAAATACAACATTGGTCGTGACTGACATGTTTAAAGCTACAAAAACGCTATGCATTAGGGATACACCTCAAGCAGCTACAGATGAGTTCATCTCATTGAGAATGCGATAATATGTCTCATGATCTGATGTGTTTGTGAAGCCAGGAATAAAATCAGAGAAGAACCTCAAGACCGCTGCCAAATGTTGCAGGTCATTGGACGAAATTGTTGCATCAAGAAACAATGAAGGCCGGATGGTATTGACCTGCACATTCACCATTGCTTCTGTGAGCCTTTCTAACTTCAGAATCACTACCTACAACTCAAAATACAGCCCTTATTACCATAATACTTAGATATAAAAATTTAGACAGATCAAAGTTTCATCACCAAGCAAATAATGAGAATGGAATTGTGACCTTACTTAGATTTAAAGATGTGGAGAAAAGTTAGGAGCAGGAGATACAATTTTAGAAATTGCAACAGTTTATGATCCAAAAATAATGAACAAAACTTTAAAAAGAATGACAAACATTTAATGATATTTAAAAGTAGCCCAAATCAAGTTGAATATACCTTTTACTGGGAAAATAGCATGGGGTGATGTGTGGGAACTGCAAAGTCATCAAATGGGAAAACTTGACCAAAACAACATAGATTGATGGTGGTGGATCTGTGCATTAAAAAATGGAAGACTAGGAGAAGGAAAAAGATGCTTGAGAATCAGGTGGGTATTTCTAAAAGGAGAAAAATTAATATGATTTAAATGAAAGCAAATAGTAGATGGAATTTAGAAGAAAAAGTAATGAATTATATTTGACTTGAAATGATCAACTGTATGAAAAAAAGGTGGCAAAAGAAGTTAAGACCTTAAGAAAATCTATAAGAAAGTGTCAAGGTACTAAAGAAACTTGGTGATAGAATAAGAGGTTCAAAATACAACAAAGCAAAATGGATATGTTATAAAGATCGATAAAAGACTAAAATTATAAGAACACCAAAAGGAAGCCAAAAACTGAGCAATGCCAAATTTTAGTCATATAATGAACTCTATCAAATACTAGGCATTAAAGAGGGAGAAAATGTGATTTATAAATTTCAAAGATGAGAGAAAGAAAAGGCAGAGAGTTAAATCATGTTAGATGCTTTAGAAAGGAAGATGGAGGAGTTTTGGTAGACCCTCAACACAATGTCATTCCAATTAGTGTGAACAAAAATTTATCTTGAATATGTTGTCACTGAGCATAGTCTGCCTGTATGCACATTCCTCAGCTAAACCATGCAATGGGAAATGCAAATAACTCTGAAGAACATTAAGCTTTTGAAGCTACATGTAAAACATACATAAGTTTTACTTTCTTTCTGTCGTGAGGAAAATGTTTTTAAGAATTACCTTGTTCTTCCGTACATAACGTAAAGCTTCAAGATAATATCCATCTTGCACCAGCAGCAAAACATAGTCATGATGCAAAGATAGCCGTCGTAGCATATCCATACCCAACTTCCTTGTAGGTAAATTCTGTCGACCTGACTCCAAGAGTTGTAGTGCAACCTCTTTTGAGGGTTCAAGGATCTGCTTGAAAAAACAAACCAAAAAAAATGAAATATATAGTAGTAGTAAGTTCATCAGCATCATTTTTTTATCAATAAGAAAGAACTTTTATTAAGCTCTCTTAACCCACCCCAACAAAATACACAAGCTTACAACAAAACCCAAAACAAGTTTCCCTTTCCCACCCCTTGTTTAGCAAGTACATCAGCAAAGGAGTTGGCACTTTCTTCACCCACTGAAATCTCAATTCCATATTCTGAGTCTGCCATTTAATCCTTCTTTTTTCATTTACGTAATGCCAAAATCCAGAGTCCTCTTTTTGAAGCCAATTAATCACCAGCTTAGAATCGCCTTCAACAATCAATTTTCTAATATTTAGCTCTTTTGCCCTTTGTACTCTTTCCAATACAGCCATAATCTCAGCTCTAAGTGAGTCGCCTGTACCAATTGGTCCTGAGAATAATGCAACAACTTTTCCTTCATCTCTAAAGACACCTCCAATGCCTGAAGGACCCAGGTTACCTCCATTACTCCCATCAAAGTTCAGCTTAATGAAACCTTCAGCTGGTGAGGACCAAAGAGGCCTGATTTCAGCCTTTAGAGGGAGCTGAGTCAGCCACTTCTTTCCAATTGCTAAGTAGAGTATCTGTAAAAATATCCTTGAAAATTTTCAAGGATTTCACCTACTGCACCACTCTGATAGTAATAACTTCAATTAATGCTTCCTTGCTTCTCTCCTTTTCAAAGAATATTTTCATCTTTCTTCCCAGATTATCCAACAGACAGCTGCTCTAGTGCATCTCCAAATAATCAGACCCCTCTTCTTTGGCCACCTGACAGAAAAGGTAGCAAACAAGCTTTGTATATCTAGTGGGGAAGCTCTGTCCAACAGACGGGATGGTGATGATCCAAGCCTTATCCCAATTATATGGGGTTGGCTCAGTGATTTAAAAGGTGCGCCTAGGTGCACAGGCGAGGCGCATTTTGGGGTATGCGCCTCGCCCAAGTACTAGGCACACCTCTTTCAAAAGGCACACGCCTGGTGCGCCTAGGTGTGCGCCTCAGCCCAGGTGTGCGCCTTTTTAAAATTTTGCACTTTTTGCTTTTTTTTTGAGTCTAACGGCTGGGCCGGGGGCTCCGCCCCCGGACCCCCGACCACACCCCTCAAGGCAAGCCTGAACAAGTCTATGTTAGGGTCTGAAATTCTTATTTCTCACATAAAAAATAATGATTTTACAACTTTCATTACCTTTTAAGAAGATATTTTATTGCAATGAATGAATGAACAAACATAAGCAAATAGGGAGTTCTCTTCTTAAAAGGCAATGAAAGTTGTAAAATCATTATTTTTTATGTGAGAAATAAGAATTTCAGACCCTAACATAGACTTGTTTAGGCCTGCCTCGAGGGGCATGCTACAAAGGCGATTCATAGAATCAAGTATGCAATATGTTTTACATCACATTAACTACTTGAACCAATGCAATTAAGCAAAAAAAGAGATTATGGGTTTTACATGCTTGAAAATGCTTTTATTTTTTAAATTTTCATTTGAATACACTTTACATGTTATGTTTATGTATTTTAATTTTAGATAATAGGTTTTTAAATCATTTATTTTAAAATTTAAGTTTATATTTTTATTAACATTATATTTAATATTTTTAAAATTTTTGCATTTTTTTGGAATTTTCTGACTTTTTTTTTATTTTGTAGCTCTTTTTTTTTGTAATTTTGAGCCTTTCTTAAAAAGGCGCGCGCCTCGCCTCGCCTTGCGCCTCAGGCGCAAATTGGCCCTTGCACTTTTTTTGCGCCCTGCGCTTTTAAAACACTGGGTCAGCTACACAAATCCTGTTTTACCATTCCGCTTTGTTTAATGCCAATATCCATTATTGAATTATTGGCATTTAAATCATTTCTTATTACATCTATCCATGTCCCTTTTGGTCTAGCCCTTCTAGCCCCTTCAACTTGCAACAGATCACTTCTTACGGTGCTGTTGGAGGTCTTCTATACATGTAACCAAACCATCTTAGTCTACTTTCTCTCATTTTACCTACTGGAGCTACTCCTAGGTTCTGTCCAACAATTCATTTCTGATCCTATTCTTTCTAGTTTTTCCACTCATCCATCTCAGCAATAGGCATTTCTGCCACACTTATTTTTTTTTGACATGTTTCTTGACTGTCCAACATTCTGCTCCATATAGCATTAGTAAATTACAAAAATGAAATTAAATTAAGTCCCGTTCTCTAAGGCAAGTTATTTAAGAGCAAAACCGGTCACTCTAGCTTTTCATTAAGGGCAAAACAGAAAGCCAGAAGCAAGGAGGACAGGAAATTTTCAGTTTATCCAGAAAATTAAATTGACCCTTCAAGAATGTTTAGGATTCTAATTAAGAGCTTTGGCATTAAAAAGGAGAAAGAAACTTCCAACTTAACTCTAACAAGCACATCCAGAATATATGGATACTAGGAGAGCAAGTCGGGCCGGGTTATGTCAATTTGAGGTCAACCCTAACCCTAACCCAACCTGATGACTTGGATAAGGATCAGATTGGGTTAGGGATGGCCAACTTTTTCATCTCCTTTTGCTAAAATATTCTTATTATTGGACTTAAATTGGCATATTAAGGTTAAACTGACTTTAGCATTATTATGTGTACAAGGATAAAGTCATGGTTCTTCATATATATATATATATAAAGACATGTTGGGTTTGAGTTGGTTAGTTCAGGTTGCCCAAGCTTCAACTTGACTGACTTGTTTCACCCCTAATGAATACACATTTTTTTTTTTCAATGCTTTCAAAAAACAAGCAGTTAAGGGAAATCATGTCAAGGACAAGAATGACAGTTGAGTTCAAAAATGACCTTGTTCATGACAAACAACCCAAGCTCTGCATAACGATCACTACGAGCTAGCAGTTGTACAGTCAAAACATACAGATTTGGATGTACTTTGAGTTTTTCCACAGCCGCACTGCAGTAACAGAAACAGGTCAGGACTTTGTGGCAACAGAGAGAAGAAAGATGATGATTTGCAGTTGCAAAATTAGATTAAAAATTCACCAAACCATGAGGCCCTGTTACTATATCTAGTAAAATCTGCAACCATGAACTGGATCATGGTGAAAATTTTGTTCCATGCATTCTTTTGTTACAAAAGTTGAGTCTGAAAGTAGGTTAAAAGGGGTGACGGAGCTGGCTTGTCAGAAGCTGTAGAGGAAATTGAGGAAAGTTGCAACAGGTATTGATGCTTAGATTATATTTGCAGTCTCAGTAGTTGTGACTTGTGAGTGAGATAGGAAGCTATTGATCTTAGAAAAGAGACAAAGAAAGGGTCTATGTTGAATGTAGAAAAGACTCATGTGAAGAACAAGAAGGAAGATAAAAGGAAATATCTGTCTGAATTGGGGATGAAGAAAAGGAAGAGAAAAACAGAGTAGAATCAGAATGGTCAATTCTAAGTAACATTAGACAAGCAAGAGCATAAAGTATGTTCATTTCCTTTTTCACTGGGCAACCAAGCTTATGAATATTTCCATAGGCAGTTGAAAAAAAAAAAAAAACAATTTTGAGAGGAGGGAGAATGGGATGTAAGGATCAATCTCAAGTTGGGAGGAAGAAGTTTAGGATGTGACAAAGATAGGCATTCACATGGGAACTGTGGATATTACAATTCCAGAAAGTAGGAAATGGTTGAGGTAATAATAATATCAAATCTTTGACTGTGACAGCCACTAGGTCAGTAAGCTTGCTCAGGAGGGGGGTGTTTAAGGGTTCTTGTGTTGCATTCAAGTCTTAGTTGATTCAAAGCAGGTGCTTCAGCAGGTGATTTGAGTGTGACAGAACTAGATCAGTGGGTTTGCTGTGTTTGTGTGTGTGTGTGTGTGAGGTGGGGGGAGGAGGTCGTAGTGTTCAGAGCAGGCAGTTTAGCAGGTGATTTGGGTCCTATATTAGGGTTTCACATTTGATATTGCATTTGAATTTTGAAAGGCCTTTTTCTTTTTCACTTTTTACGATGTTGCTTGGGTGGATCACCATGGGTTGGAGATGCTTAAGTAGGAATCCAGGTTGAACCTCTGCTAGTTTGCCTTTGGAAACTAAAATACTAGATGGATTACCTCCGTAAGTATTCAACAATGATAGCAACCAAATAAGCAGGGTCTCCAGCCATCTCTTCCTCAATGAGAGCAAATACAGAACAGTACATTTCATCAGGTGAAATTGCTGCGGAAGGAACTTGTGACTCCACAGAAACATTAGAGTCAAATCGACTGCTGCTAGGAGAAAGTTGAGATTCTGAACTTGACTGCTCAGCCTCAACATCAGAAGTTCCAGCATCTATACTTTTTATCCCCTCTTTTGTTCCCAAATCATGAAACTCGCTTGATAGAGGCTTTTGAAGAGGCTCTCCTGAACTGGTATTCTGCAGTGCCAAGTTGACATTCTCCTCAGAATGAGAAACCAAAAGAGTAGATGATCTATCTATTGTGGAAAAAGTGGTAAGACCAAGAGATTCATTATCCACATCTTTGGTCCTGTAGTGTATAGATTCACTGACCACACCACTGACAGTTGCAGGTTCATGTTTGGTGGATCTTCCATGTGTCTGTACTCTGCTCATAGGGTCATCAACCACAGTCCTAGAGTTATTCCCATGTTGGGTGGTAGGAGTTGAAGTGCTCTCACCACTCACTGTTCTTCTAGCACCTCCCATTTTCATTGAGTGAGAGAAACAGTTAACGAGTACATCCATTGCTCTGGCAACCATCAATACAGGTCTTCGTTCAAGAATTACTGCCCTTGTTATTGCCAAACATAATTGCTTAGCCTGAAATGACAAATCAAGTGGCTTAGTATAGAATCAATCAAGGTTTCATAGTGCATAATTTGTGGATTGACATCTCAATAACAGATGGACCGACTAGGCTGGAAAGTGGGTTGCTAGATTTGAAGAATTTCAACTACATTAGGCTTGGGTTAGGTTTTCAGGTCCATTGAAAATTTAATAATTTCCCAACACAACCTAACCCAAGTTTAGTGGTGCAACTTGGGTGGGCCCAACCTGACCCCGAACCAACCCAGCCCGAAATTTTGCACTGGCTGGGCTTGGATGTTCGGTCCTCAGGCTGGGCTTGGGCCCAAGAATTCAGGCTTTTTTATTTTTTGGGCTGGGCCCGAGCTACCTATATGTATACATATTTGCATAAATGCATACATACATGTATACTTTTAGAATGGGTTTATTGACCAACCCAAGCTCAGCCCAGGCCCGAGCCCAACTCGAGTGCATCAAATTACAATGCGGGCTGGGCTCAGGTTGAGAAGATCGGGCTTGACCTTGGGCTCAGTCTGGGCTTAGGCCTTAAGCCCAAATTATAGGGTTGGGCCTGGGTTGACCATAAACCCAGACCAACCCGCCCAACTTGCACCCCTAGGCAGGGTGCTTATCAATTATCACAGGCAATAATATTAGAATATTACCTTGTTGGTTTCCAACTTCCGTCGCTGTAAAAAATCTAAAATAGAGGGCACTTCTGAATTGCTGGCAGCAATAGCCTGTACATTAAAGAAAGATAAACTTCTTTACAAAAATCAAGCTGCATCTTAGTGAACTATAAAAGATACAAACCAACAAGCCTCACCTCTAGATCCAAATGAATTCTCCACAAAAAGCCATTAACAAAGTCACATATAAGGTCAGGAACAAGAAAAATCCAGCCCTCTCCATAAACAGATCCTTCATGATCACTCATTTCATTTGTCTCTATATGTAATGCATCATTGATACTTGACCGGGATGAAGAAGCATTAGCCCTGGGCAAACCCCTGACCAAAAGAGGAAGTGGAGCAGATATGGGTGCTCGGGAATCTGCAAACATGTCGTAGAGTATAACAACTTTGGCATCCACTTGATGAACAAGAAGTACATTATCAACCACACTGACTGCAATCTTGCTTGAATAAATTGTCAACGAACCCTGCCAAAGAATTAAAGAAACATTTTGGTATGAAACACAATGTAATACTGCTGTGAGGAGAAAAAAAATTGAATACCCTACTCTCTAGAATGTCCACTAAGGTTATCAAACATCCAAAAGTGTATGCAATGAATTGATGATATTTTATTGAAAGTAGGAAATGTTGTGGGGGAAGTCCTTTAGGCATTTTATGAAATCCCTTAAGGACTTTTCCAATTTCAATAATTTTCTCAGAAACCAAACACCACCTTAGCAATGCCAACCCATGGATGAAGACCTCATTGAAATGAGTTCAAAGATTGGCAAATGAACTAGCAGACTCATTGGCAAGGGCAGGGCAGGGGTGATTGGTCCAAGTTGCATCAGTGGTCTACCCTCCTTTGTGAGATAAGTGTGTTGGGCCCAATGCCTTAGCTTTGTCTAAATTCATAAAAAGGTCTATTCTACTGTTATTTGTAATATTTTAATATATACTTGTTGATCTGTTAATAATCAAAAAAATTGATATTTTTTTATTGGAAATAGTAACTTCATTAATATAATTTTAAAAATAACTTTCCGGATTTAAGTACAGCTGTCAACCCCTAAGTAGGTGTTGAGCCCCCAGTAATCTTTCTTACAAGACTGCCCAGAACATACTCTCCCTCACAATCCCTTGTTTAGCCAACGTGTCAGCTAAACCATTAGTTGATCTCCTTGTCCATTTGAAGCATGCACCGATCTCCCTTGTTATATTGAGGATTTCCCTTATGGGCTGTCTATAAATCCAGGCTCCCAACTTACTAGATTGCAGCCACTCAATCAACAATTTAGAGTCTCCCTCTATCTCAATTTGGTGTAACCCCAACTGTTTTGCATCTTACACCTTGAAGCAAGGCCATCACCTCCGCTCTCAATGAGTCCCCCACTCCTATTGGTCCTGAAAACAAAGCCTAAAAAAATGATATATTTTTCACATGTAAACTAGCTTCTTATCAGCAAACGTTTAATATAACAAATTTCAGATACCATGTTTGCATTAGAAACGCCATTGTCAACAATCTGGTTAATGGGGTGCTTGATTACTACTGAGTAGGTGCTGAAAGCAGAATGCTGAAAAGATACCAAAGTTAGAAATGGCTATGTAGTATAAAATTTTTAGGGGTAAATTAATCATCCCAATTCATTATTCAGCAAACATGTAGGTCTTGAGATGCTGAAATGATAAACTGCACATTTTCAAATTAGGAATCTTTTCAAAATTCTGCTTCCAGCTCCTATTTCAGCAATAATCAAACATCACCTAGGTCTGCTGTTTCGAGATGAGAAGTATAGCAGCAAACTTTGCTGCTCTAACTTGCTTAACACTATCAAAGCCTGAACACCTGGGGATGGAGTCATGTAATTTTGCTTGGTGTCCATTTTCGTTCATTACCAGAAAAGCATCTTAGGCAACTATGTTTATAATATTAGTAATTCATATATTAAATTAAATTTATTAATAGTTCAAGTAACAAATATAAATTTATATCTCGCTAAGCAACAACCTAGCCACCTGCAGATATGCCAGGTTTTCTGGTAAGGTCAACCCTGGCCTCTATTATATGTTTTAAGAACACTACCAGTTGTTTGGCTTAATTAAATAATGGCCGGATCATTTAGCAACCTAATATGCTGAACTCTTTATTTATTTATTTATTTAGTGGATTAGTATGGTTGCTTTATGTTCACACTCATATATGCTACTAATTGAGTCAAAATTTCAAACGCTACCAAAACATTACTACTTGTTAACAAGAAAACATATCAAGATCTTGCCGATTATAACAGAGACAATAGTTAATAATAGTGATCGTTTTGGGATTACTTAATAATATAACATAATATCTAAGGCTTTTACCATTAGAACTTATAGCACTTTTATTAGTTATGATGCTTCTAAAAGTCAAGTTCCATACTCCTTATTGACTGGTCATATTAACTACAAAAATATTCCACAAGACATGGAGCCACTTCTTGGTGTAATGGTAAAATCCTTGGGCTGGCAAGCATGAGAACGTGGGTTCAAGTATGAGACTAACCACTTTGTGCCAAAAAGAGAAAAAAAACAAAGCTTAGGACTATATCCAGTCTTTAGTTGCTCCAAAATTACACATTTGGTGAATTTACAACATTTGTGCAAGTTCTCCTCTTAATTGATTTAGTAACTGATTCAGGGATTCAGGCTGGTTACTAACAGGGGATTCAGTGAGTAACTTCTATCATTCATACAGGGTCTTCAGTTAACAGTCTCTGCAGACTATTAGAGAATATGTACCATGTTAGCCGGATAAAGAAAGGTAACAGATGAAAATAGTGTCAGATGCAGAATTTACACTAAAAAATTGGCATATCCAACACAATATGGCACCCTTGTACAGGTAACCAGGTGTCATAAAATAGGATAAATCAGGGGAACTATTAGATTGTCGTATGATGTACAAGAAACTGGCATGACTAGGGCTGTCAATGTACCAGATATTGGTCCAATTGAATCCGGTCTAGTATGAACCCATTACAGATGGACCAGGTCCAATCCAATCCAATGAATACTTTGGACCATTCTGGACTGGTCCAAATCAATGTCTGGACCATCCAAACTGTTTAAATTGGTTTTAATTTATATTGGGTCCAATCCAAACCCGGTCTATTGGCACCCATTACAATATAAATCCATTACAAATGGACCAGGTCCAATCCAACCCAATAAATACTTCGGACCATTAAGTCTGGACTGGTCCAATCCAACATGTCTTATTGGTCTGTCCAATCCATTCAAATTGATTTTGATTTGGACAGGGTCCAACCCAAACCTGACCCATTGACACCCCAAGGCATGACTAGCAGTCCTTGAAGACTTTCCTACTAGAATATGGCATGAAGTCCTTGATATTCTGAGTGAACGCCTATTTCCATCCAGTTCTTATATCAAGCAATCATCAGCTAATGGTCTAGCAAGAATTGTTAGAATGTAGTTTGTATACTGCATGTTTAATTGCCAATGAAGATTTATTTCTTTATATGTTTTGTACAGGAGACATCATTGTTTGTGTGTGCTGGTAGGCAGGTCTAAATTGAGTCTTGATGCCTTGTTCATGCATCTTTCTACGCTAATACTATATTACAATATTTCCTCACTAATTATTGAGTCAGTAAAAAATGCATTAACAACTTCTATTGAACCCATGCTCTTGCCCTTTTTTTTGTCATTGTCAGTTGTTTGTAGAGCATTCATTGAAAAGCCTTCAACAATATGCTGATGATATTTATTAGAAATAATTGAATAAAAATACCAAAAACATCAGAAGCAATAAGGACAAAATAGGTAGAAATTGAGCAAAGAAGAACCTGCTGGATGACAGCATCTCGGTAAAATCTGTATAAGTGCAGCAGCATAGCAACTCTATCAACTTGCAAGCAGTATATCCTACCATATCTTTTAACATTAACAACATTTTGTCAGAAGAATAGTTTGAAAAGTTAAAAATGATGCAAAAGAAAAAAGAAAGGTGGTTTAACTTGGCCAAAGAAAATTCAACAACAAAAAGAATATTGACAAAATGGCCTACATTGTAACAATATGCACATCTTCTGCAGCAAGAACAGGTTTTTTGTTCACCTCTGCTTGAGCCATTGCCATATCAAATCTTGGCAACCGAATAATTCCCCCAGATGAAAACTGAAACAGAAACAGTGAATCAAGTAGTATATAAACATGGAAAGTAATTACATTGCATATAAGAAGAGAAATAAAAGGAGCTTATGCTAAAGTGATGATAAAACTAAATACTAGCATTTGATAATCTTGGGTTATCCATCCATATCCAATTAGTAGCAACATGGAACAGCAATTTACATTCAACTCACTATGATTGAAATTCTTGCCTTGTCACAAGAGAAAGAAAAGAAAAGAAAAAACTTCTGGACAATTGGTCTGGTTATAAATTTTGACAGTAACATCATTTTACATTCTCTACATTAATGCAGATATTATGGACCAATGTTTTAAAAGGTGTGGGAGGCATATGCCTGGAGGTGTGCCTCTAGGCGAGGTGCCCCCAAAATGCCTTGAGGCGCATGCCACAGGCATTGATGCCTCTGAGGCATATGCCTCAGGTGACAAGGCATGGCATACACCTCAAACACCTTTTCCATGATTCATGCTAGAGGCGTACACCTCATGCGCCTCATGCATGCCCCATACAAAAAGAAAAGAAAAGAAAAAGAAAGGAAAGGGAAGGGAAGCATCCTCCTCTTAAGGAGGTTTCCTTGTGCTCGGGCAGCTTATGCCTCTTATGTTCTGAACTATGCCTCATGCCTCCAGATAGTAAAACGCCTCAAATCACACCTCTGAGTTTTAAAACATTGTTATGGACTAATCAGAAACTAACAACCATGACAACTGAATCTCAATAAACTATACATAGCTTACTCTTGTAATTACTGAATAAACTTTAGGTCATTGGATCTACCTGAAATCCAGTAAATGTCTTGCACTGCATTCCAGAAGCAAGAAGAACCATCCGGCTTTCATGTGTATAAACATACCAGCAGACATTCAATTTCTTTGTCTCCACCAGGCGGAGAATTTTAACCTCAGGTTCATATGTGAACAAATCCAGCCCACTGTAATTGAATTAAATATTAATGCAGTGAAAATAAGGCATGATTTGATGGGAGATCAAAGGGAAAAAATACTAAGACACAAAAAAATGAAAAATAAATATAGAGAGAGGAACTTTATACAGGTTTACAAAAATCCTTGTTGGCTTACCATCCAAGTCAACAAGGATTTAGAAATAGCATCTGAAAGTGTTCTTCTTAACTAGTATGCCCTATAAGGGCTGCAAGTCAGGCCAGGTTAGGCCGGGTTGAGGCCAACCCTAGCCCAACCCTAAGTTCTAAACCCCCAACCCTAACCCTAACCCTAACCCAACCCGACCTACCCAACCCTAACCCTAACCCTAACTAAATTCCTTCAAGCCTAACCCAACCCAACCTTCTTCCCATCCCTTAAAACCTCATAGAATTTCTCGATTTTAGATCTTAACTCAACTTTCACTACATATATTAATCCTATGTTTCATTAGTATTTGTTTGTTGACATTTTTTTTTTGTTCTTTTGGTACAAAATTCAGAAAAACAAGTGTTAGAAATGACTATAATTTATTATGAGTTATGACTTATGATAGATCTTTTATGGGCAGCAAACAACAGAGAGGAGATGAATAAAATTTTCAAAAAACATAAAATAATGTTATTAAGGTTTTAGTCTTTCTGATTAGGATTAAGTGAAGTGATTATCTTAAAAGAAATACATGATACTATGTCGTGGGGGCTATACAAATATCATGCATCTAAACAAATCAATGTATGTTATATATTACATGTAACATATATTTATATATGACATGTACTATAGAGTCGGGTTCGGGTTGCCCAAGGGGTCAACCCTAACCCAACCCGAAGTAAAGTCGGGTTCATGAATTTCAACCCTAACCCTAACCCGAGCATCAACCCGACCCAACCCAACCCAACTTTTTCGGGTTGGATTAGGGTTGGGTTCGGGCCAATCCAGCCCAAGTTGCAGGGCCCCTATTTGTTGTTAGACAAAATGTATCTTACATGGAGTTGAAAGCAGTATTATTCAGTTTCCATGATCACAGTTTTCTGCCAAACTCCCTGATGCAGTCTCCTAAACAATATTTTTTTTTGGATAGGAAACGGTAACTTTCATTTAATTAAAATAAGAGATTACAACTGTCACCACTCAGAAAGGATGGTGATCCCCCAAATCATATCAGACTTACAAACATGCCAAAAACAAAGCCTGCCTATTGATTCCTTGCTTTGCTAAAGTGTCAGCCATTCCATTTGATGATCTTCTAGTCCACCTAAACTGCACCCCAACCTCCCTTGTTAATCTCATAATTTCCCTTACAGGTTGTCTAAAGAACCAGGTTCCCAAGCTATTCGTTTGCATCCAGCCTATTACCAACTTGGAGTCTCTTAAACAATGTTTTGTCAGTACTGTATATATTGCCGAAAAGAATAACCTACTACAAAAGTGAAAATAAAAAAGAGACTACTTTCAAACTTAATGATCAAGCTCAAAATCCCAATTCTGGGTAACTTCAAATTCTATATAAGTGTGCAATAAAGAGTAAAACAACTTAAAGAAGTTAAAATTCCTAAAGGCTGATAGTCAAGATGCAGTATCTCTTCCCTCTAGATGCTTCTTTTTCTCTTTTTCTTTCACTTTATTCCTCTTTATTGAAGTTGGAAGAGTTGGAACATGGTATCAGAGCTCTAAGGGCAACTGCCACTGTTCACGTCTCTCCTTTTGTGCCCAAGGAATAGAGAATATTCTCTATTCTTTGTTGGAAGGGAAAAGGACTCAAGAGGACTGATTGCCCCCTTGAAAAAGAGGCTTTAATGCCTCAAGTTGCAGTGTTGTGTGAGTTGGTAGTGTTTTTCTAAGGACCCTCTAACTCAGCAGTTTGAAGAGGGCAGCCTTGTGATGTCTCGATTTTGTGTGTTAAGTACTCCTCAATGTGTGGTGATTTTGTGGTGGTCTGTGGTGTGGTGACATCTTGTGGCAAGTGTGATGTTTCCTTAGTGTTTTTAAAGTAAAACTGTGGTGATTCTTGGTGTTTTTCCTAAGAATAAAAGTGTGCTACAATAGGTGTATACTAGCTGTTTGACAGTTTGCCTAAGTGATACACCAGTGGTTTCTTCTCATACTCATGGTTTCATCAAGTAGTAATACTAAACCTACAGTAGTTGTGCAATCAGACCTTATGACTTCTCAATTAACTACAGTGAAACTTAATGGTACTAATTATATCCCATGGGCTAAGTAGGTTGAGAAATCTCTCATTGCAAGAGGTAAGTTGAAGTACATTAAGGAAGGCCCATTGAAAAGTGGATAGGAAGAATACAATGAATGGGTAAAGAGAAAGCCCAAATTATGACTTCTTTTTGGAACAGTATGGAGAATCATATTAGTGTGAATCTCATGTTTCTAGACACGGCCAAGGAGATTTGGGACCATGTCAAGCAGCTATATTCTACACAAGACAATGTCACAAGAAATTCCCAATTATACCAAGACTATTTTTCCCTTCAACAAGGGGATAGAAGTGTTGAAAAATATTATGCTTCCTTAAAAAGCTTAAGTAATGAACTTAATGTTTATCAACCCCTATCCACTGATTTGAAGATGTAACACTAGAGAGAACATCTAGATGTTGCAAGATTTTTATCTGGGCTGGTTGCCTTGCCAAACCTATCATTCCTCTCTCCATCAAGAATGACCTTGTCCTCAAGGTCAATGTTAGGAAATTGCTGCTGCAGTTGGTCAAAATCCTCCCATGTGGTATCTTCGGGAGGGAGATTGCACCATTTCACCAAGGCCTGTCTTCGAGTCTTCTTTCCCTATTTCACCCACCTGAAGTCAGCCAGCCTTTTGGGTTCCCAAATCAATTCCCCTTCATCAGTGAATTGGGGCAGGGTAGGGCTCCTCCTATCTGTGGGAGACCAAGTATGGCATCAAGAGACTAATGTGAAATACTGGATGCAATTTAGACTCGATAGAAAGGTCCAAGCGGTAAGCTACTGATCGGACGTGTTCTGTCACTTGAAAAGGCTCAAAGTATCGTGGGCCCAATTTCTGCAATGGCCGATTGGCCACTGATGTTTGCCTATAAGGCTGAAGCTTCAAATAGACCCAATCATCCCTTGCAAACTCCAACTCCCAGTGCTTCTTATCATAGGCCAATTTCATACGCTGCTGGGCCTGGTGGAGGTGAAACTTGAGATCTTTTAATATGTTGACCCTTCAACCGCTGCCACTGCAGAAGTGCCTGGTTCATGAGGATGGTAGGAGGATCGCGCCCGTATAACACCTTAAAGGGAGTGGTTCTGGCCAATCCTTGGAAGGTTGTGTTATACCAATATTCGGCCCAAGGCGACCAGTGGGTCCAATGTTTGGGATTCTCCCCAACAAAGCACCTTAAATAGGTCTCTAACCACCTGTTTGCTACTTCTGATTGGACGTCGGTCTGAGGGTGATAGCTGGTGGAATGAAGTAGTTATATCCCCTGGGCTGAGAAATAAGCCTCCCAAAACTTGCTCATGAACAGTGGGTCCCAATCTATGAGTATAGACTATAGGGTGCCATGAAGCTTGGCCACCTCCTTTATGAAAACTCAGGCGACTGTGAATGCTGTATATGGGTGAGGGAGGGCAATGAAATGGGCATATTTACTCAACCAGTCCACTACCACTAAAATCACCAATTTCCCGCTAGCTTTGGGTAATCCAGTTATGAAGTCCATGGGAATTTCATCCTAGACTCGGTCGGGTATGGGCAGGGGTTGTAGTAGGCCGGCGGGAGTCTAGGTGCTGTATTTCTGCTATTGACATGTTGCACACTTGGCTACATATTCCTGTACCATTCATTTCATGCCCTTCCAATAGTAATGGGTTGCCAATCTTTTATAGGTTTGTAGTGACCTTGAGTGACCCCCTCCATGAAGAGTCATGAAAGAGTTGTAGTAACTCCTGGAGATACTGTGTTGTTTCAAGTATTACCAAACGGCCTTTATAGAAGAGTGTTGTAGGTCACCTTATATCCTAGTGTCAACTGGGGATCATGGTTGTACTGATCCCGCAATTGTGCAAGATGGCTTGTCTTTCTGGGCTTCCTGCCTGAGTAGATCTAACAAGGGATAAATGGGCCGAGATAGGCCCAGTAATTGGGAGTCTTCAGACCTGGAGAGAGCATTGGAGGGTCCCGACCTGTATTCGATCTTGAAATCATAGCCCATTAGCTTATAAGCCTATCTCTATTGATCAGGGCCTAGCACCCATTGCTCTAACAGATGCTTAATGCTCCGGTGGTCCATCTTGAAAGTGAACCTCCAGCCTAGAAGGTATGTCTGCCATTTCTAGATGGCCAAGGTAATGGCCATTAACTCCTTCTCGTAGGTGGATTTTGCCTGTGCTCATGAGGATAAGGCCTTACTATAATAGGCCAAGGGTTGTCCTTGCTGCATTAAGACAGCCCCTATACCCTTACCTGATGCATCGGTCTCTACAACAAACTCTTGGTTGAAGTTGGGCAATGCTAGTGTGGGAGGGCTCGTGACGACCTTTTTGAGTAGCTGGAAGGCATCTTTGGCTTTCTCATCCCAATGGAAGGCCTACTTCTTCAAGAGACGAGTGAGGGGAGCTGCTAGCAGCCCATACCCTGGAATGAACCGGCGATAGTAGTCTGTGAGCCCGAGGAACCCCCTGAGGCCCTTTTGAGAAGTGAGTTGGGCCCAATTCACTACAAGAGATCTTGTCCAGGTCTGCGTGCACCTTTCCGTCCATTGTTACATGCCCAAGGTAATTAATTTGGGTCTGGCTGAATGAGTAATTGGAGGGTTTGGCAGACAATTGGTGCAATCGGAGTACGTCAAGTGTGAGCTGAAGGTGCTTCAAATGGGTACTCCAATTAGGACTATATACCAATATATCATCAAAAAATACAAGTATAAATCAACACAAGTGGGGTTTAAAATTTTCATTCATGAGTCTTTGGAATGTGGAGGGTGCATTAGTTAGACCAAAGGGCATTA